ATAGATTTGATTGAAACATTATATAGTTCAGGTTGACAAGTCCACAAGCTCACGTCTTCTGTATCAAGACAGCAGGGACCAGGGTCTTTTCATGTCTTCACAATCTCTATCACAGTCTGTTAACTTGTAATATAAGTGTCTAAGTGGCTTCTTTTCTACAACATTAGCGATGACTTATCTGAAACACATTTTGAAACACACCACTACTGTTTCTCCACATTCTTGCATTTAAACAGGCAATATAGTTTATTGTGTGACTTTTTTACGCACACCTCATTAGCTGCTCTGCCTTTCTACTACACTTCATCTGGGTCTATGCATATGTGCATATCAGTCGGGTTATTTATGCTCTGTTTTGTTTTCAACACCCTGTCTTGTAACTGTGAGGCTGCCAGGCATGAAGCAGTCAAAACCTCTTTTCCCTCCAACCCATCCCACCTTGGCTGGAGAATTTATGGCCGAGTCATCGCCCCTGAGAAAATAAGCTGAGCGAGAGGAGCCTGCCCTGGCTGAAACTCTGCACCCTTCTCCCTTAACACAGTTCCTACTTGTGTTTCTATGGACACTGATGCTCCCTTAACGCAGCTCCTACTTGTGTTTCTATGGGCACTGACGGAGCTGTTTGATACCCGCTCCTCTGCTGCTTCTTCACCACCCGCAGCTACGGGTCGGCGTTTCATCTCCACAGCCTCCGAGGAACTCCTAACGCTCCAGAATGCGTTACCCAAATCAAAGCTAGAGCGCATTGTTAAAGTCAGAACATTATACCAGTGTCATGTTAGCCACTTGAACCGAACAGCTGCAGGTAATTCTCAGGGACCGAATCTCACTTTCTTTGTGACTGCGTCTGATGCGTCTTGCTGTAGCCAGGGGTGTAAAGTCTTTGCCATTAACACTTGAGCCCTGTGGCCTGGCTGTTTGGCAGATGCTGCTCTGTAAACGAAACCAGAAGATGCTGGCGGTTTGGACAGCACCACAGTGGGACCGCATGCTAGTCGGGCTACCAAAAGTGCAGTAGCGCTGACAAGTATTGTGTTTGGAGCCAGAAGAGCTTTGTCACACACCCACACAAATATCTACTAAATAAGAGCTTTATGTTTCAAAAGCATAACGAGGAGATCTGTGGTTAGCTGGACGTAGTGGGATTTGTAATGAATAAAACCGCTAAATGTCACTTTCTTTTGCCAAAAACAAAGACTAAACACCAGCGGCACCCAAACATTGTCGCTTAACCAATTCAAAGAGGGGGTTGTGTAGTGCTACCGCTAGGCAAAGCGTTGGGGAAAATATTAATATACAAGCATTTGATTTTATATGTTTTGGCAATATTTGTTGTTACTAAATTCTTTAAATGTCAAACATTCAACTGTATAACGTGCTGCAGAATAAAAGGAGCGAATGATGCCAGTGTGTTAGGCCCAGCGGCCTCAGTGTACACGCCGTAGCAGGCAAAACAAAAGCAGCACTTCAGGCACTAATTGGATCTATTAAAAAACATAATTTTAATCTTAATACAATTTGTAGGTGTGGATTTCTGTGGACAAAATCTGTTGTCATAACATTTAGGAGATGTGTTGTAAGTCAAAGTCCAACCTAACCTGTTTTTTAGGGTTTGTCAAGTTTGGCAGGATTGTTGACACTTTTAATTCTTTAAAGTGATTTGCTGCAACAGTAGCATTACACTTAAATTAAGTTTTCCTAAGATAAACGTTGTATCCCAAAATAATGTAATGTGATAAATGGACCTGCATGTGGAGAGAGGGAAAGAACGGCGAGCCTTTTCCGTTACACCAGTATTTGAGGTTAAGATTCTTTGGACCGGGTCGGAGAACATTTTTCCACGCAGTACTGAAAATGCTCACTCTGCCCTCTCAGAAATGATCTTTTGACCAAAAAGTGTTCTGTGGCTGTAGTTTGTGATGCTGGATGTCAGGAATTGTACTCACCACCAGATGGGATAGCCTCCAAGCACCCGTGAGCAGGACAACCACACACACATCAAATATCCAATCAGGTTCAAATCCATGAGGCAAGCCTTCGTACCAGTGTGTCAAAGCTGCTGGATCAATACATAGAACTTCCAGAAGGTCAATCAAGTCAAAAGCAGTTTCCAGGAAGCTTGATTGTTGAATGTTGGGAAAAATTCAGATATTATTGACAGAAATGTCCTGTGTTGCCTCTTCTCGGGCCAGAAAGTGTGTGTGCCTCCTTAGTAGTTAACAGAATAAATGCACACGCTCCTACCCGTCCTCTCCTTCCCTCCCTCTCTGTGAGGTTCTTCCCTAAGGTAGATATCTTTTTCTCTCTCTCTCCCTACTTTTTTCTCCCTCAGGATGCCTCATCCACAGGCCCAATATTAAAGGAGGGGAGAGGGGGGCGAGCGACAGGGCGGGCTGCTGGTGGGCTGTGAGGTTTGGAGATGTCAGCTGGCAAGCCAATCACAGAAGATGGCCTTAGGTTATGAAAAAAATTATTATTCGTTCCCATCTGTCAATCAAGCGCCACCCCCTGGTAACGTGAAAGAGAGCGTTACCAAAGAGAGTTGAGAGAAGTAGAGTCACTTAAAAAGGTGAGTCAACTTATCCACAATCAGTAACAGTTAAACCCTTTTTTATTAGAGGATTTACAGGGCAGCTCCAGCTAATTGATTTGGATATTATTGGCGCATTAGCAGCTATAAACATCTAACTTCTTATTTAAAGGGATATATACAGTGAATTTTCAAAATAGTTGTCCGCCCAACCCAACAGGATAGCACATAAAAGAGGACACAATAAAGCCATAAAGCGTGGTGGTGGCTGGGCCAGGCATGCAGGGCTTGTGTGCTGCAGCAGCCCAAAGGCGACACATTTTACATCAATACTATTGTCATTGTGATGGGCTGTGGGAGAGCAGCCGCGGGACAGGGGGAGGAGGACAGGGAGAGTGAGTGAGTGAAGGAGGGTGGGACACTTGTGATGGACTTGGAATTAGCCTCAAGTAACAAGACTTTTGATTCACCTAAAAGGAAACTGATCAGGCTGAATGCAAACAAGATACCTGGCCCAGATCAAACACTATGCGTTTCTTGTGGAGATAGTCATCTTGTTTAAAGTCTTGTCTCAAAGGATTATCAGCTGATCCTAACAGAAAAATAAAGGCTACGCAATGTTACGCTAAGGCCAACACAGATATTTGTCAAAAACAGGTGAAGTGTGTTTTACTTTTTTATTTTTAAGTCAAGTTTTTCAGCTTTCAAATGTCTTATTTACAAATTATCTTGAAGTTATGTTGTCTAACAATCTTAATGAATATTTTTCTGACATTTTTTTTGACATGCTGCCAAGTAGAACAAGTTAAAACTTCGGGACAGTGGTGCTGTCCCCTGCTTCCTGATGGCCAATGCAAATCAGTAAAGTGAGGATCATATATACAATGTATTGTTTATTTATTCAGAGATTGTGGTGGTAGCTGCACTCTGGAGTGATTGTTGCCTCTTCTGGGCATTATTTTGCAACTCTTATAACAAGATATTATTTCTTGAAACTAGTTTTACATACATTTTATTGTGTTGAAGCCCATAGTTTTTATGCGGTCAGAATGACCCAGTACAGTTAACTTTATTACCTGAAGAGCACATCTGCCGCCCCCTTCTGTTGTCCTTCCCCTGGTGTCTCCACAGAGGAGCCCAGTGAGTGAGTGGGCTGGGAGGTCTCTCTGCAGGGGCTCCACAGAGCAGAGAGAGAGCCCACCGCAGGGACCGGCCTGGTGACCAGAGTCTGTAGGTCAACAGTGGGCGGTCCGCTCTCTTCAGCCTCTGTGTTTTATTCCTCCTGAACAAAGGAGATGAGGAATCAGGCTGTGCCTGAGCACTGCTCAACCTACCAGGCTTTTGTCCAGGGGGGTTCATGAGTCTCTAAACATGACAATAATTTATAGGCATCTTGAAGTCTGTTCTCCAGCCAACTATAGTGGTGGTGGGGAGGCTTGGACATTTATTCTAATAAAAATGACTTTTCATTGCCTTGAGGGAATATGTGGTATGCCATTGCAGTGCTGACAATGAGGCAGGTCTGTTTCCAATTGTCAACATTGTCGTATGTTACAACAATGCCAGAAATGTGCCGAGCTCAGCACTGCGATTTGGATGACACTTGCTCTCCATGAGCTATTGACAGCTCGCCTGGATGTGGGAGAATGTGACCATGGTCTAATTTATGAGTGCAGGCGAAAGAATCAGCCTGTGGTCTGCATCTGAACAACATTGAAACCACGTTTCCCGAGGTTCAAGCCACAAGTGCAGTGGGAACTGTCTGAGGAGGCAACAGTGATTAAGGACAGGAACAGTGCAGTCTGATGTGAGCTGTGACACAATCGCCTGTGCTGTTGTGTGCACAGAGGACAGAGTCTGCATCAGGAGGTGCAGAGGAGGCACACACAGCGCTCCCCTACCGGGCTGGTTTCTACGGTGACCTGAGAAAGGCCGTAACAAGGTCCGGCTCTTTCTCAGGCCTAATCAGCGCATTACCACAAAGAAGGACATGTGTTCGGCCCCCCACCTCCCGATCCTCCGCACTCAATCCGAGCAGCATGGCTGGACACAGGCAGCCAATAAAACCAGGATTAGGAGGCTATCTACACACACTGAGCTGTGGCAAAAAAAGTTTTTGAACACGCCCAATCCCGCCTTGTTCCCTTTACAAACGTCCTTTCAGCATTGTCTCCAGATTCTCATTCTTAGCCTTCTTGCACTTTATTTTGCTTGCTTCCATGTTCATATCCTTCCTTTACCCCAAGCCCTCAGAATCCCTGCTCATAATCCTTAAACACAATAGGTCATCCAGAAATTACTAATTTTGCTGAGGCTGTTCCCAAAAGTACTTGTCCATTTCCCACTTTTACGTGTAATCCTGCGCTTTTCGCTGGAATAGTAATGAAATGTGGTCGGTCACACTGACAAACCTCCATGTGTTTCGTTCATGGAATGCCGGGCAGTCTGCACTTCCAGTGATGCATCTTTCCATGTAAAGATGGAATTTGTCCACATTTGATTTATGACCTGTGAAACATCTGCATCGCAAATTAAAACCATTCTATTGTAATGAAGATAATCTGCAGTCTGCACAGGAAGTGCACTTTGTTTACCTCCAGTATCAGTCTGGATTCTGGAAAGGTTTTCTCTGTATTTGAGATAACTTTAGTGATGCCTCCAGATGCCTCAGAGATGCCTCTTTCTTAGGCAGAGATAAACATATTGAATGTGACATTTTCAAATGGATGAACTCTCCATACATTTGAGTTTGTTGTAAAAGTGAAGTCTCCTGTGTGTGAGCTGCAGACCACAGGGACGAGTGAAGTGCGGGCAGCTCTGAGCCGGACACTGGGGCGGTCTAATTAAAGGGCACTTAAGCCCCACAGTCTGCACTGGGACAGGTTGAAGTTGGTGGGGTCCCTGTCGAGAGGGATGGGATTCATTGCACTCATAAACAAGGGGCTTCAGGACACAGGGACACAAGGAGGGTAAGTACCACAGACTTTGTTCACACAAGATGAAGAGTCAACAGCTTCCCCATCATTCACCCCTCCTCAGCAGTCCCCCCTAATAAGCACCTTCTTCAGAGGAGCCACCAACACAATGCCATCCGACTCCCCTCTTCTCGCTCTCAATCACTGTTGGGACAATGAGGGAACCCCCTTCACCCCGCTGCTCCTCCCGACCCCCAAACAGACACTTCTTTTATTGAAATTCTTTGGTGTTCTAATCCTCCGCTTCCTCCAGGGCCAATAATGGACTCCCTGCGTCAGCCTTTTCCAGTGAGGAGATCATCGCTAGCAGCCTGGGTCACAAGTCCACATCCCCTGTAGGATAAACCTGGCCTGTACGTGCAGTCTTTGCCCCATTCACAAACTCTGTACCAAATCTGAGCTACTGATCTATGAGCACTTTACTCTGCTAACATGGCTTTTGGGGACATTTATATGGCTACTGTATAATTCAACAAATTTATCAATGTTCCATTTTGACAAAAATACATAATACATGCCCTTTTCAGTGAAAAAAAAAAAAAAAAGAAAGAAAACATTAAAATTACATTTTATAATTGGAATCTGAAGATTTACATTTATAAATTAGGTAAGTCCCAAACATTTAAACAATATTATTAAATTATTCTTGCAGGAACTGTACATCATCTCTCAAGAAGTTGAATGGAAGCAGACTACACTATGAGAATAGTGACATCTGCTGGTCGTAGCAGTGTATAACCTTACCAGTTAAAGTTGTAGGTTCTAAATTAATTTCTTCTCTGCTTGTACACACCAGATCTGCCCATTTGGATTATTGTAGAACTGCTGTTTAACTGTCAGGTTGCAGATTTGTTTGACTGGCTTATGGTTAATGTCTTTGCAATTACGTTATGGTGCAAAGCTGAAGTCAAAGCTCAGTGAAAATGAAGAAAAGTTGAAGTAATGACTGGGAGCTCCTGCACCCACATGACTAAATCTGACAGAGATGCCATATTGTCAGTGAATTAGCAGTAATGAGTGCCACATTCATTCTACTTTTGGAGATTTTTGTCATTAAATGAAATCATAGACAATGATTTATCTTAATATCATCAGATTAAACATGAATGACCATTACCTGACACAGGTGTTATTTTAAAGAGTATAGATCGTGTAGATTTTGCCTTAACTCTGCAAAATGTGGACGTCTGGTTTAATTTACTTTACAATTTTTGAATCATTATGAAACAATAGTTGAATCATTCATCAAAGAAAAAAAAAACTATCAGTGTAAAAAAAAAATACATTAATTGCTTAATTAATATACATCTTAATTAGCTGCTAGCCCCTTTAGCTGTAAAAATCCCCTTCTACTATTAATATGAAGTTTTGTAAGTCCTGTAAAAGGCTCAGCGTTTCTTCTGTCTTTGATACTGTGTACTGTGACTCTGTTTACAACAATAATCAACCATCTCTGAAACTCCTATAAATTGTGTCATGCGTCATTAGTTTCTACAGGAATTCTCAGTTGTGACCACAGCCAGTATGGGGTTTGGAGTGTGGGATTGCGTGACCACATCTGTAGTGTAGCAATAGTTAATAATAATAGTTACTTGATCAATATCATGAATTTTGATTACACATCTGTATGACATCTGTCCATGAAAAACAGGTGGGGTTTTGTCAGTGAATTCAGGTGAGGACACGTTGACATTGCAGACTGTATCCACGTTTCTGTCCTGAGGTACCGTTTATCAAAGTCATGTTTCACCATTGTTCAGGAGCCAGCAGCAGTGATCTCATAACACTGTCATCCATGGTTTAAACTTACACAGCTCACCGGCCTCATGTCTGTAGGCCACATATGAGACAGTCCACTATAATCTAGCTCAACCTGTTTGATACCACCCCTTGAAATCTTTGTCCTGGATCATATTCATACACAGGTGACCCTCAGGCGCTGGGTTCTACAGTTGAATACATTTGCATAAGAGCTCATGTTTGACAAGAACATGATGACGCAGTCTGAAGTCATTCTCTATTGTTCAATGTGATACCAGCTCAGTGCATTCTGTTATAGTGTCCTTGGGCAATACACTTCACTCACTGTGCCGCAGTATGAATGTGGTGTGCGAATGTATGATTGGTGGTGGGTGGAGAGGGTGTTGGACCATTTGTCGTCTCAGGGCAGCTGTGTCTACAGCTGAAGTTTAAAAGATTCCCCAGTTAGGAGTTAATGAATAATCTAACATCCAATGCATTTTAGTAAGCAAAAATGATTGTTTTATAGGTATTTTAATATTTTCTCGTGTGTGCCTATTATTACATTTTCTTATTATTTGATCCTTTCAGTTTTTTTGTTTTTTTTTTTGTTTGTTTTTTTGAAATTGTACATTAAAGGTGGTCTGACTAAGCTGATGGCTCAAGGTTAGTGTAGGATACTCTATAAGATGACTATATTGTATAATGGCCATCTGATTATAATTGCATTTACTAAAAGTCAACTATGTAGAGCTAAACCTTTGTATATTGCCTCTTAAGATAATTATATCGTTTTTAAATCCACACAATCACTAAAAGTAGTTTTTGAACCAGTACCACACTCTGTTCTTTCAGTAGCCCATTTCTGTAGAGTCTTGTCTTTACGTGGGGGCGTAGCAGCGTGCTTTCAACGCATCAAAACCCGATTGGCCAGCGCTTGGCACGTGATCGGAAAGAGTCCAATCGCGGCCAATCCTGACGCGTAGGGAAAAAACAGCAGAAAAATGGGGCCGTGAGTCGGTGACGTTACATCATGAGCAGTGCTGTGTTGTCACCAGCTGGACAGATTACAACACGAAGCTAAACGTGGATGTGTCTTTAAATACGTAGTGAATTCGCAGCGGGCATGGCGTAAAGATCGGCGCCCGGTTCACGTCGATGGCATGATGAGATATAACGTTACGCCGCGGCCACGTTGGACTGGCGATCAGAAGAAGCTATCGGTTTGACTATAGACATCGATAAGCCCAAAACTGATAAGTGCCAATAGAGGTCGGAGTTGAAGCTGATCTCCACGCAGTAAGTCCTTTTCTATTTACTCATCTATTACTATAGTGTATTAAACCCTATACTCTACTTCTTCTTTGTCGTTTATTAGCATACCACTTGTAGCGCTAAATTGTATTGTTGCCTATTTTAAGCCTGGACAATTTGGACTGACCCAGTTGTTTACTTCTGTCAGTCAGCTCTTGTTGACGTTTCAGATAAGATAGCTCTGCTCCATTTATAGTGTTGTCCCAAGGCAAAGGTTAGCTAGCTAGATTATTAAAATATGAGTGCAGTGTATGCTGATTTTTTTTTGCATGAAAACAGATAAAAAAAATAACACATTTTTGCAGAGGAGACCATGCATGCTGGTACAAGATAGTCTCATATTGTAGGTAACTTGATACTGGGTACTTTCCTTTTTATCTTATGTGTAGTCCTTGTTGCTGTTAAATGTGATCAGCCTGTATACAGTAAGATTTCTAACTCAATTTTGATACAGTGAAAAGCATTGCCAACACTTTCGTTACAACAAAGATGATAAAACACTTTTGTTGTTTTGAAAGTATTATGTGGTTCATTTTCAACCCAAAATAATAATAGTTTCCTTAGTATTATTAGCATGTGCTTTTATTATTTTTAAGATTGTTTTGGTCATTCAGGAAAAGTCTGATCTTGTTTTATTTAAGTTACTATATGATTTCACTGTACCAATGCGTGTTAATTTAAGAATACAGTTTTGCTAATAGCAATAATAATAATTACTTACAGACAGTTGTGTTAAATGGTATGTATTTTTTGCTTCTGACAGCAGCTGCCAACATGAACGTGGGCACAGCACACAGTGAGGTGAACCCTAACACCAGGGTCATGAACAGTCGGGGCATCTGGCTCTCCTACATCCTGGGCATTGGTCTCTTGCATGTGATTCTGCTCAGCATTCCCTTTGCCTCTGTTCCTGTTGTCTGGACACTTACAAACCTCATTCACAATCTGGTCAGTGCCTCAAGTCTGTGTTCAACTAATGATTATGTGGGCCTGCTTAGTTTAGGAAAAGAGAACATATCAGCTGAAGTTGCTGAAGTAAACATAGACGATAAACAACAATACTGAAACCAAACCATAAAGCAGAATTATCCACAAAAAGTATTCTAAAGGTACAGTATTAAAAAATGGTAATTATTTATCTATCTATAAAAAGTCATATTTACTCAACCTTCTACAATTCAGATCCTATCATATTCCAGTATCCCAAAATTGTTTCAGCTTTCATATATTGAATAGTAAGTCGATATTGTAATTATGGTGACATGCCTCATAATCATAATCATGTAATACAAGCTGTGCAATGTCCAGAAATATTTTTGGATAATCTATAACATTGCTGTCTGTTGCAGTGCATGTACCTCCTGCTTCACACGGTCAAAGGAACTCCATTTGAGACTCCAGACCAGGGCAAGGCCAGACTCCTGACTCACTGGGAGCAGATGGACTATGGTGTGCAGTTCACAGCTTCAAGAAAGTTCCTCACTATCACACCTATTGTCTTGTAAGTTTACCTTCAAACAGTCTATAACCATTTTTCATTCTGTTGACACCTCAGTTACTGTTCTTCCAATTTTATGTGCATTTTCCTATGGTATACAGTTATTCAAATTAAACAGCTGTAGAAATATAGTTTAAACTAATGTAAGCAAGCATTGTATGAGTAAGCACCCAGCATATATCTACAGTGTGGTCTCATATAGTCTCTGGAGGATGTTAAATAATACAACAGTGTTCATTCACCTGTAATTAGTGTGCACATTAGTCAATCTCTCAGATTGTGCAGGGGCTCAGAACTGGCTGCAGCCCCATGCTGTTTCATGCCCTTTTCTGTCCTTATTAGTGCTATTTACAGGAAGCACTGTTGTTCCCTGGGGTTCAGCTGCCAGCTCAGGCTGAACATTGTGGTAATAGCACTTTTGCAGGTGTACATTTTTGTGCACACTAGTTTCAAGGTCATGTGTAATGTTCTGTATGTTTTGGGACCAGAGTTAGAAGGCAGAAACATGTGTGGCAAACAGTTCAGAGCTTTAAATACATGCCCCCGTATACAAAAAAAAAAAACAGGATGTGCACAACACAACCTTGTGTCCTTTTGTATCTAAACTCTTTTACACAGACAGAATGTAGTTTAGGCTTTCCCTGCTCCTGTGTCTCAGAACCACTGGATATCAGTGCTCAGAGCTGGAGTGCAGCCAGTTGGCTGTAATAAAGGAGAGGCACGTCCTAACTTCGTTAGGCAGCCTGGTTAATTCACTCTCCCTGCTTCATTCATTACTTATCGCATGTTGTAACTCAGTAACCTCTCATGTCAACACAGTCTCTAAATTCACTGACACAGTTTGTGAGACAAACTAATATGCACCAGTAAACATGGCTGCAGACTAGTCTTCATTCTTTTGCTTCTGTCAATATTTGAGGTTGCAAAATGTAGTTCTTTCACAGAGAATGATAACACAAAATGCTGAGTTCAAAGAATAAAGTACACCTAAATCAAATGAAACTGCATACTGTACACTGTACCTGTCCCTTTTGATTTCTTGCCAACCATTAACCCCCAGTTTTGTTTTTTATTGTGTTTTAGATACATCCTCACCAGCTTCTACACCAAATACGACCAGGCCCATTTTGTGGTCAACACGGTGTCGTTGCTCACCGTTCTCATCCCCAAACTGCCTCAGCTGCACGGAGTGAGGATTTTTGGGATCAACAAGTACTGACCGGACAGCCTTGTGCGGCGCCCTCTTGTGGGCTGCAGTGAACAGTGTCTAAGGCTGCTCTTTAAGGTCTGGGCGCGGTGTGGACTAAATGAAGCCTTAGGGGGATACTGCCATGGTACTAGAGACACATTACAGTTACAGGAGGCACAAAGGGAGCGCGTTCTGTTGTTATTGTGTGTAGCTCATCTCTTGGTGGAATCATAGACACTTAAAAAGGGAGTGTTTGCAAATGTTTCTGTAGAAATAGACTGGCATCAAGGGGCAGGATGCTCTTGCTGCACAAAAATCATGTGCCATTTTTCATTTGTTGGCACACACAGACAACAGAAGCTATTTTGTACGTGATATGATACAGTGCTGTATTTATTCAGCTTTACTTTTACATGAATCCTTCTCTTTTACACAGGTTTTGTAGACTATAGAGGGAAGGCAACAATAGAAATAGTAAGGAGACTGAACTGCTGAGAAGCAAGACACAAGAAACCACACAGATTTATATTTAGCCCTCAGGCTTCCTCAGCATCGGGACGCCAAGTCACTCTTTTTTTAACTGACCATGCCCATATTTGGAGCACTCTTGTCCTAGATTTCAAATATTATAAAGCCTGTCTGGTAAAGGGAGTCCTGTAGGCTTTAGAGAAGTGTGCAATCTCGATGCATATTAACTACAAGGGTTGTCAAAAGTATCAAAAATAAGATACTAATCAATATTAAAACTAGTATCGAAACTAGATACTAATTTGAACAAGATACATTGGGAAAAAAATCCCATACAGAGGACAAAATTTGACTTTTTTTGAAGTTTTAGAAAAATCTTGAACTTCTCAGACCTAGAAAAAGACATTTTAAAGTCTGTGGTCTAAAAATTCTAATTATGTGAGTATTGAAATTGAGTTTGAAATTGTAGTATCCTGACAACAGTAATAGTGACACTAATTTTGTGAATACATAAAGATGCACTCGTTAGCACTCAGGATATTGTGACAAACGGTACAGAGACGGTTCAGTTTTTGAGTAGTGTTATTCAGGGCCTACAGAACAGAAATATATTGACAATTGCCAATCATGATGTATTTTAATTTGCATATAAACATGTACAGTGTTCAGATAGCTATGAATGCATTTCCCTTACTTAAACCTACTTTTAATTGTAATCCTGACAATTTATTAACCAAGAGTAAAGACAGTGCATTCATTTCTTCCTGTGTGCTAAAATGTGCAAAATTGAAGGGCCCGTATTACGCTATTTTCTGATCTGTTATAATGTTGTTTCTTCATCAAAAACATTACTGGAGTTGTGTTTTGTTTCATTCACACACGTTTAACACACAAACTCTGCATATTTAGGCTGTGTTCTTCTCTCAAAACACTCTGTTGCACCTAGTGATGTCGTAATGTCCTGTAGTAATACAGGAAGTGTTTTCAAACTCCTTACACCTTCATTCGAATCATTTGGATGATTTCAGCCCTGGAATTGTCAATCTGTACTGAACTAAATGTAAAAGGTAGCTGTTCACTTGAAAACTACTGCTTCATGACATCACAATGTGGAACAGAGCATTTAGAGCTTTGGAGATGTAGACAGTCTAATTATAAAAGTTACTCAAACGTGTGTTCAGGTGTGTTTTTGATGAGCTAACAGCATTTTAACTTGGCCTAATAGCTCACAAGAGTTCATTTTGCGTAATATAGGACCTTAAGTTGTTTACATCTGTTTTGGCTCCATAGACAAAAGTTTTACATAATGTTTAAATAATGCATGCCTCTTTTTAGTCTGTTTCTCATAGTGACGTACTTCAGCGTTCTATGTATGTCCGTGCATCATGGGACATTTTAGAAAGATTTCAATCCTATTAGAAGTAATGTTATTCTAAAGATCATGTGAATGTAATAATAATCATATGAATTCAAATACTTGTTTGAGACAATTTTGTCAATTAAGTTGCAGTATGTTGTTTTTGATTACTTTACCAGTATAGTGTCCACAACCTTTCAACAGTTTAGATTTTTTCAGTTAAGGCATTGTAGCACTTTTGCTAATATTTTAGCATTTCAAATTGTAAAAAGCTGCAGATTTATTTTAAAAACATAGATTTACATTTGAAATGGTTGAGTTTTTGCTCCATGTTTTACCCCTTCTTCATCATTACCATAAGGGCTTAATTATGGACGTTCACTCTGTAGCACAAACTGACCATGTATTTGATTTTCTGAAAGTGTAATGTGGTAAAATGTGAAATCGTGCTTATGGTTGTTGACTGGTGTTTTGTGAAGGAAAAGTGTGATCTAGTGTCAAAATGCTTGATCTCAAATACAGTATTTTTCAACTATAATCTCCTTTGTGTGTTTCTAAATAGGTCTTGAGTTATGTAGCTAAGAGGTTGAAGGTTAAATTGTAATTAGATTAATAGATTTAAATGGAGCTAACGGATTAGGGGGTAAAGCCTTCTAGTCTAGAAACTTACGAAAACCTATGAGGTGCAATTTATAGGCAATTAATTATTATGATACAAAAGATGATACTTGCATTTTAAATGATTTAGTTTATATATTTTACAAGTGTTTGCATGTTTTACTAAATATACATTTTTCTTACTGTGAGTGCGGTTGCCTCTCCACACATCTGACCTGTAAGTTGTCCTGCTGGTGCCACCTGCTTGTCTCAATGGAGATAGTTTGTTGTCATACGGTACAGCAGGCAAAGCGTTAACATTAAAAGGTTACACAATGCACTTTTTAAGACATTAGTAACACTATAAACTATAAAGGAATCACAGAAGATTCAGCATTAATCATAATATAATATACACAGTAATCACTTAATTCAGACATGGTTTTCTTCACAATTATGCTGTTTGTGTTTATTGAATCAGCATAAAGACTGGCTTTTTTCTTGGCCTACAGTCCCTGACAAAAGTTTTGTCGCCTATCCATTTTGTAGAAACAAAAGCTTATAACCTGACTTTAAATTAATCGATTGGTTTTAGAAATGTCTCATATGAAAGCTAAAACCCTCCCAAATTATGCTCAATATACTAAAATAAATTTGCTTCACTGAAGAAAGATTGATCATTTAATGAACACAGAAAGGTCAGATTTTGGCAAGACAAAAGTTTTGTCACCTACAGAATATTGAACAAATAATTTACTTCAAATACAAAAATATGTTGCATAACGTCAGTGAATTAAGTAGTGGTGCTGTGAGATCCATATTTAATATCTTGTATGACTTCCATGAGCTTGAAGGACACATCCATGCGGTTTGACAATGATTCATACAATTTGTTGATGAAGTCATCAAGAATAGCAAAGAAAGCGTCTTACATGCCTCCCAGAGTTCATCAAGATTCTCTGGTTTTGCCTTCCATGCTTCCTCTTTCATTCTACCCCAGACATGTTCAATGATGTTCATGTCTGGTGACTGGGCTGGCCAGTCCTGGAGCACCTTGATCTTCTTCGCCTTGAGAAACTTTGATGTAGAGATAGAAGTATGCGATGGAGCACCATCCTGCTGCAAAATTTGACCCCTTTTATGGTTGGGAATGTAAGAGGTAGCTAATACTTCTTGATATTTTAGTCTATTGATATTGCCTTCCACCCTGCAAATGTCTCGCACACCCCCAGACTGGATGGAACCCCAGACCAGGATTTTTCCACCACCAAACTTAACTGTTTTCTGGGTGAATCTTGGATCCATGCGGGCTCCAGTAGTTATAGCAATATTTGCAGCGGCTGTGATGTAATTCAACCGAGGATTCATCTGAGAAATCCACCTTCTGCCACTTTTCCAGTGTCCATCCTTTTAGCAGGCTGTGGGCCTTGGCAAATGCCACACAGTTTTTTAATTGCCTTTTGTTTAGTGCTGGTTTCTGTGCACTGATTCGACCATGGAGGTCATTTCGAGACAGGGACTTGAGGTGACCAGGCCTGGTGGAGTCTGCTGCAGTGGAAAAGGGGCCTTGGATTTTCGAATCAACAAACAGTCCTCCCGAGCAGTTGCTTGCGGGGTCTGCTGGACCTGGGCTTGTCAAAAACATCTCCAGTCATTTCAGATCTTTTTCTTATTCTTTGTACTTGACGCTGAGACACATTGAAGGTGTCACCACCTCAGCAGTGGATCTGGTCTTCAGCCTCTTGATAATTAATGCTTTGGTCTCAGGGTGCATATTAGGCATGTTGTCAGAGGTCAAGTTACAGTTGATGTGAAGGTCTGGTGTGCTGGGGTTCTTTTTATACACACCCACTAATTGATTGATCAGTAACTGATCACAGGTGAGGCTGTAATCTAGGATTGGGTGCATCATATGACAAGGCGACAAGACTTTTGTCTTGCCAAAATCTGACCTTTCTGTGTTCATTAAATGATCAATCTTTCTTCAGTGAAGCAAATTTATTTTAGTATATTGAGCATAATTTGGGAGGGTTTTAGCTTTCATATGAGACATTTCTAAAACCAATCGATTAATTTAAAGTCAGGTTATAAGCTTTTGTTTCTACAAAATGGATAAGCGACAAGACATTTGTCAGGGACTGTACTTTAAGTTTCAATCAATATACCAAAGGCGCTTGTCAAATCTCATTGTTGAAAATAATACCTTTTGTGCATTATTTGACAATAACAAATAAGGCACTGAACATTGCTGTATATAATAATAATATTGAACTATAGGAAAACGTTGCCCTAGACAAGCGTGATGTATTGGTGCTTAGGACACTATGCATTCAAAATAAGCTGCAAAAGCAATGTGTGTATATAGAGGAAATCTATTTACTGCTGTGTTTCATCATGACCCATTGGGATTCACTGTCCCATTAGCTTCACTGTACCTTCCTCCAGTGACTATGAGCGGACACAGGGCAAATAGCAGCTTATATATTGTATGAAATTATGGTCCAGTTAATAATTTGCTTTGCTCTCTGACCATATACGCATTTATGTGTGTGTACCGGACCATGATATGAGCATTGAAAAATCAGTTCACTGGACATTCTGAACTATTTTAAGGCTTAGGACAAAATAGTTATTACGCAGTTGTCCAGCAGATGGCAGCATGTAGTAGTTGTTCTCGCCTTTTGTGGCTTTAAGAGCTGTGAGGTAACATTATGTCTTTGTTTTGATGTTTAAACTTGGCCCTGATTCACTAGTTTTACTACATTGTATTATACGACTTTGGCCTAAGGAAAGAAAGGAGAGTTTGGCAGTTTTGTATCTCATATATTTTTAAGACTTTTCCCGCAGATTTTCATGTTGATGTGTTTCTGTACATTTACATATATTTTGTATACAATGATCTGGGTGTTAGGTGGATTTTTCACTACAGCAAAGTGTAAAAACAAGTCTTCTGAAACCATCTGTTTAATCTGGAGTTGTATCTCATTTGTGCTGAACTTGATGGAGGCTTTGTCAATTTGTAGCTACTGGGCTGGATCAGTTTAACAAAAAAATTAAGGGCCCATATTATACTATTTTCTGATCTATTTTATAATTTTCTTCCTCAAAAAATACCTCGAATTGTGTTATGTTTCATCCACACATGTTTAACTCATAAACTGGCTGAGTTCTCCTCTTTAACAAAAAACACTTGTGATGTCATTTGGTAATACAGGAAGTGCTCCACAGTGTTTTTAAACTACAAACACTTTTACTAGAATCATTTGGATCATTTCAGCCCTGGAATTGTCAATATCTACTACATGACATCACAAGGTGGAATGGAGCATTCTGAGCTTTGGAGATGGGAGATAGGATAAAAAAAAAAAGGGGATTACTCAAACAAACAAACTCTGGGTATGTGTTTGATAATGTAGAAATATTCTAACATGGCTTAAATCTCTCAAGAGTAAATTTTGCGTAATCTAGGCCATTTAATCATTTAGCTCAGCAATTAGATGTGGCTTTTGGTGTGTTTACATGCAGAAATCTAAACATCAAAAACACCCGGTGACACGTGTCAGTTCATTTGTGTTTTGAAGAGTGAGCACAATGGATTTTAAAATAACTTTCAAATCACTCTTTCTTTTATGTTTGTCTTTCCCACATTCATTTTATTTTCCTTGTCAACGCTAACTGTTTACATGTCACTTCAATAATCTGATAACTCCAGAAATCAAATAATGACTTTGTTATGTGCATGTAAACAAAGCCAGTGTTACAGTGCCTATTCAAATGTCAGCTGTTGCCACCATGGACTGTAAATATAAATGGGCATAGCTAACCTTCTAGCCGCCGCATTCCAAATAGGAAGTGAGCATGGGTGCGCATCCGGCTCCATTGTCTCTAGCCCTACTTCACTTTGTATTGAAGAAACATTGCCCCTCTGTCTGTCACTGCTGCAGAGAACTTCATGATTTTGGGCTTAAAATGTTCATAGTAACCTACTTTATATGATCCCAATGTTTTTATTTTGCTATTTTATCTGTAAATCAAATCCTATTCCTAATATGGAACTTGCCTCCAAATTCATCCTGTAACTGCTAGCCTCTGTGAGATTCATTTGACTGGAGCCAAACGCTATTTATCAAAAATCCTTACTTATGGGAGCTGTTGGCTTTTGTTCCAGGTTTGCAAAGTAATCATAAATTATTTGAGACTGCAATTAGAATGGAAAATGGTAAAGATTGCAATTACATACTTAACATAATACACAAACATCTAGTCTTTTTATAAAACCTGTTTACCCCATATCTTAACATAAACATCTAAGTGCGTTGGATTCCTTTAATAGTAAAACTCTTAATAGTTTTACTTATGTCTTCTCTCACACAAACAGTAAAAGCTCCAGAGTGTGTTCAAAATGTGCACTGAATTTGACTATTAGAGCGCTGTTAGATGTAAGTTTTAAATCAGAAAAATCACAAGATGATATGTTTACAATATTATTATGACATTTACCCTCTGTGCCTATAGTTCAAGTTATAGTATTTTAAAGCACCTTTTCCAATTTGGACATCAGCACGGTGTATTTGCAAATAAGAGTACAACATTATTTACCAGTCCACATTTTTTAGATAAATACTCCAGCAGTGGTTAGCACTTAGTTACATTTATTTGAGTAACTTCTTAAATGTATTGTACTTCTCGGAGTAGTTTTCGAACACCACACCTACTGAGTAATATTTAGTTTGAAGTAACAGTATCTTTGGTTTTGTTTTGGTTGTTTGTTGACTCTTCCCGCTTTGAGTAAATCTACAAGTGACGAAAGCTTAATGTTGACAGTATTAAATTATTTTACCTTCTTAACTTCAGATATGAATTATCTTTTCAAATTTTTGTGGTCTATCTTTTGAAAACATCATATTTTCTGCATTA